ATGGTTATTTAATGCAGTTGAACATTTTTGTCAAATTATGCTTTTGTGATTGTTATGTGCAATTGAAATGTTTTCATAAAATAAACTCTGCATAAAAAAAAGTTTCCCTATTGGATGTTTGATCTTTTTAATTACTTTTTCAAATCAGTCATAATCAACAAAATGTGACTATTTCACAAAAAAATCTCAATCTGAAAACTGTTTCCTACAAAATAAAGACAATTCATTTAAAAAAAAAAAACATTTTTACATAAAATAAGTGACTGCACAAATACTGACCTCCTTTAAAGTGCCTGACCTAACTCAACAGAGATCCAGAATATTTCTGCTAGTCGTGTCATAAGGAGTGAAATGAAGATCACCTGAGAGCAGCGAGTGTCTCCAGTGATTGCAGTGTAAAGACAGCTGTGTCTGGAAAGTCCATTCATTGGGTAATGAGTAGTCCTGTCTACCATTACAGCATGAAAACAAAAGAACACTTCAACCAAATTGGGGGGGAAAAAAGGTTTTAAATAGTATATTAGGGATGGATACAATAAATCTGTAAGGCAGTGAACATCCCTGGGAGTTCAGCTAAATTATAAAGTAACCGAGGGGATACTGCACATGTGTGTCTCTGCCGATCAGGATGTCTTTATGAACTAGGTAACCATGCAAGAAAGAGACCAGTGAGACAAGACAGTAAGACAACTCTGACTACGCTGAAGGATTTACAAACGGCTGAGATGGGAGAGACTCTGCAGACAATTATTACCTTGATTCTTCATGAATCAAAGCCTTATGGGAGACTAGCAATGAGAAAACTAAAAAATGTATCAAGACCCAACTCCAAGTTGCACCACAGCAAAACTCCAGAAATATCAAAATGTTCACATTTCATGTTATGTCTGATTCAAGTAAAATAAGTCAAGATTTTCAGGGTCAGTAATTTCTGTCTTTTTTGAATAATTACACACAAAAAAAACATTGTTTTGCTTCTTGTAACTATCTGGCTGTATTATGTGTGTATGGTTGGTAAGCTGAAGCATTCCCTGTTCACGTTCCACACAGGTCAGAAAGCACAGAGACATTCAACACCGGGTAAGGTTCGGCTTAATTGTTTCTCTTTCTTTTAAACCCCCAGCTTTTGTCAGCAGCAGCGCTGATGATGTTGATGGTGGGCTGCTAAACCTCTAGCAATGCTGATTAAATGACAGATAATTACAGGGATTTGAGTGGCACTTGTTTACTGTCAACTCTCAACTTATACTTGTCTTTTGTGTGTGTTTGTGTGCATTTGCACATGTGCCTGTGAATGTGTTACAGGTGGCCGCCCAGTAGGTGGGAAAATGCAGGAAGTCTGCTTGTCTGTGTCCACATGTATCAGACACAGCATGTTTTTCCCTTTCAGAGGCGAGGTATCCTGTGTGTGTGTGTGTGTGTGTGTGTGTGTGTGTGTGTGTGTGTGTGTGTGTGTGTGTGTGTGTGTGTGTGTGTGTGTGTGTGTGTGTGTGTGTTGTGTGTGTGTGTATGCGAGCCACCGATCGCACTGGGAGACTGACTTTCAGGAACCCTGCAGCAAAAACAGGCACTGTGTGTTTCCTGCTCTCACACGCCATTATCACAGGACACACACACACACACATAGATCATTGCCCTATTCTTTTTTTTCCCATTGCAGGTTTCCTCAACGCCTATCCTTGTGCCTCCGGCTGTCAAGATGTTTCGCTGCGATTGTCATGAGACTTGCTCTCTGGGAGCGAAGCAGAGGACACAAATAGGTGAGGAGTGACTGCATCCTCGCAGTCACAGCGCTTTCTCCTCCCACATTAGGTTGCTTACTTTAAGTAGGCCACATTGTCTCTGCTCCTATTTCAGTCTCTCGTGTGTCCAATTCAGGAGTGACATATTTCTCCCCTATTTCTCCAATCACTGCATTACTTCCTGTGTTCTGTCTCGTTTGCTTTCCCAGTCATGTCATTCAGTAGTCCCTCTGGGTGACTACTGAACTTGGTGATTGTATTCACTCATCCTGTCTCTCATTTTGTCACATTACAACCACAAATTTCAACAAATTTTCTTGGTATTTTGAAGAATAGCCAAAACAAAGTAGAACATTATGGTGAAATGGGAGAAAAAATATGCATCACTTTGACAATTTTACACAACCTGAACCCCTTTTACATGATTACCTTAACCCCCCCCCCCAAAAAAATGTGGCCTTAATGGAAGAGTAATGCTGTTTAACTGTTGAGATAAGGGCAAGATAACTCAGTTATGCAAATGCAGAAAAGATGGGAACGAAGTTGTGCTCAGATGAGACCAAAACATCCCGAAAACACTTTTCCCATGGTGAAACATGGTGGTGGCAGCATCATGCTGGGGGGATGTTTCTCTTTAGTGGGACAGGGGAACTGCTCAGAGCTGAAGCAAAGTTAGAAGAAGCAATATTAGAAAAAAACATGTTAAAGACTGGTAAAAAAAATGGTTTGGAAGTTCACCGTCCCACAAAAATCAGACACTAGACTTGTAGCCTGAGTTACACTGGAGTGGTTCAGATCATATTTAAAAAAAGCCTAAACCTGAATTCAGCTTGAACAATAGAAAATGTTGGCATAAGTATGCTCCCGGGCACTCTTCCTTGAGACCTGACAAAGCTAGAGCTTTTCTAAAGAGATGAATTTCAGTTTCTAGATGTGCAAAGCTGATAGAGAAATATACCCTAAAAGACCTGCAGCTGTGATTCCAGTGAAACTATTAATCCTGGGAATGAATGTGGAAGCCAAAATGTTTAAATCCATGCCTTATCTTCCTTCTGTTTCACAATTATGCACTAGTTTGTATTAATCTATCACATAAAATCCAAAGAAAATACTCAAAGTTTTGTGTAAAAAAAAAAAACCTGAAGGGGGGATTAATGATAATACTTTTGCAAGGCACTGTGGCGCACTGCCTTGAGCATGTAAGTACAGGTCGAGATTTAGAGACGACATCGATCAATGCTGCCTTGTAATGTAACCTACAAGCTAAGCTCTTTAAAACGACAAAGGAGAAGGATGAAATGGAAAGAAATGCACCATGACACAATTGCAAACAATTACCATTAATGGCATCATCTATTCCCCACAGAGACTGCACTGAGAGAACAGTGTGCTCCACATCAGTGGTGCAGTGAAAAGTCTTTTTTATTTCTTTTCATAATGTACACGGGAACAAAAAAACCCCAAAAACTACCTTATTTCCCTATATTATTCAGAGAACTTTGTTTATGATGGAATTAACTTTTTTAGATGATTCTGATCGAACAGCCAATGAACCAGTCAGTGCAAGAGAATTGAGTACAATGAAATGTTTGATGACATGTTGTGAACAGACAGTGGTGCGTAACTTGTTCAGCCATGCAGCTCAAGAGGACCAGTTGTTGTCACTGAGTTGTAAACGTAGCTTCTGCTCTGCGCTTTCACTGGCTCCGTGGGCGAGATGACTTCCAGATGGTCTGCAGAAAGTGTTTGCCTTGGGTTACAGCGGGCCAGCCTGCCTGCCTGGGCCTTTTCAGCACAGAGAAAGATGTGAGTGTGTGTGTGTGTGTGTGAGAGAAATGCAAACATGCATTATGCGGTCCAAATCTTTTTTTTTTTTTTTTTCTCACACACACACACTCGCACATGGCAGTGAACTCAGACATTTGGCTGGTATGTTCTGGTCTATAACACCAGGGATGTGTGTAAGTACTCCAGAGAAGGATCCAAGGGTCACTAGAAATTCATGAGTGGAAAAAATAAAAATGCCCAAACAGCACCTCTGAATAATGGCTGGAATAAAATGAAACTTTTTTTTTACGGTAGTTTTTATGTCTATTAATTTAAGCTTAAAAACAAGTCTTTCGTTTTTAAAGATCAGATTTAAAACAAATGGGCAAACCAGGATTTCATTCACTTATCACTGGAATACGATGAAGGGATTAAAATTATATAATTATAAATATATAGTTTTTTTTTTTTTATTAAGCACGGTCTAACCTAACAAATGTGCCATGAAGTTTAATCTGAGTATTAATCAGAAAAGGTTCTTGTAACTCTGGAGGATCTGGACAGATGCACAGCATGGGCAGTGAATGTCGGTCATCTTCCGACACATCTGTCCTCTATCGGAAAGTGGAGGGAAGCTGAAGCCATTGTTGAAATAAAGACGTTCCATAAGCAGTTTGACATGTAGGCGACATGGAAAACCTTTGATGAAATCAGACCAAAACTTAACTGTCTGTGGCCTACATGTAGAATGCTAGCAAAAACTTAAATAAAATCTATCCTTTGTGCTAAAGATACCTTCCCAATTGTGAAGAATGATGGCAGCGGCATCATGCTGTGAGGATGTTACTCAGCTGTAGCAGGTATGCTAAGCTAGACACTCAAATACAAGACAATCTTGTGAAAAAAAAAAAAAAAAAAAAAAACAGTTAAAAGCCCCAAAAAACCCTTCAGCCTGGATTGGTTCAGATAACGTGTTTGAAGTCCCACTGATAATCTGTGGCATCCATCGTGATCAAACTGACTACCTGCAGAGAAGAGTAGGAAACCATTTCAGTCTCTCTGTGTGCAAAGCTGGTAGAGACATGGCTGGCAACAAACATGCACACCACACCTTTAAGAGTTTTTATCAACAAAAACCAGGGGCTACTTCCTTCCTCTTTGCAACGATGCACCAGTTTGTGGCGCATCTTTGCAAAAAAAAAAAAAAATCCAACAAACAAAATGCAAGCAATGTGGCGCTAAAGTGAAAATTATGAAAATGAATTTGAGTCATTTTTGTCCCCGCCCCCTTCAAATCAAAACATAGCTTCAGGTAAATCCACATGACTTAATCTCACCGTGCTTTTTTTTTTTTTTTCCAACCTGTTTTAGGGCACTCAGAAGCAGGCTGCTGGCCTCTCCTCCTCCTCCTCCTCCTCCTCCTGTTCTTCCTCCTCCTCAGCAGCCCTTCAGCCCCGCCCCTCGCCACCTGGCTCTGCTGCGCACCGCCGACTGGAGGCAGAGCGCCGCTACTCCTCTTCCCCACGCCGAGGGAGACGCAGAACACAACCAACCCGAGCGCTGAGACCGAGGGTTCGTTTTTCCATCACTCCTCGACCCCCCCACTCGAAAGAAACAGCTATTTTCGGTTGGAATTCCGACACAGACGCTTATGGGAATTTGAAAGAAAGTAGGAAGAAAACAACAACGAGAAAACAACAACAAAAACAAACAAACAAAGAAAGCAGACGACTGTCTTCAGCATCTTCCCTTCGCATCTCCTCTCCTATCCAGAAGACTCCCGGCTCTCACACCCTGAATATCTCTCCACTGGTCGCTTTTTTTTAGTTATTTTTCACCCCCCTCCTGTCCGCGAGAAGCGCTTCTTCTTCTTCTTCTTTTTTTTTTTTTTTTTTTTTTTTTTTTTGGTTTGTTTGTTTTCTGTCTGTTTGAGGGACTTCCAGCTCCGTTCGTGACCCGCTGGAAAGAACCCGAAGGAGACCCCGAGAGCTGCTGGCCGGACGACGCAGTTTTCGTCTCCCCGACGCAGGAAGGCGGATCACCGCGTGAGAAAGACTGGAAATTATTAATCCCGCACACACCGCCGTACCGCATGGTGGGAATTTCTGCCTCCTTTCAGTGTAAGTGATCGTTGCTCTCATCCCGGTTGGTCGCAAATTGCCGTGGAACAAACTCAAAAGTATTTTGGGGAATGTTTAATATTGATTGGTTATTTGTTGTTGTTTTGTTTTGTTTTTTTTTTTGCTCGATGACCTTTTGAATCTCTTTTGCCTTTTCTGGTTGCATCGGTTCTGTCCTGTAAACAAGCTGGTGTTTTATCGTCTGGTTTACTTGCTGCTCGTGAGAACAAAGAGTTTCTGGCCACATGATAAATGTCATTATGATTTGGGAAAACTGGGATTGTTGCGGTTGGAAGGCTGCACCCAATAGGCATAACTCCTATAATGGAGATAATTAGATTCCCGTCAATTACAGTTTGTTTAAACGGTGACGCTGGCGTTGATGCTGTCAGCTTTCGAGGAATTCAGTTTGGGAGTTATGTCTTTCACAAATTATATAGATATGTGTGCGGGTTTTTTTTTTTTTGTTTGTTTGTTTGTTTTTTTGTTGTTTGTTTTTTTTACTATCATTTTGCATTAATTTCACTCTATAAATATTTCAATCCTGCTCTCTGCTTTAAGATTAAAATGTGCAAAAAACAAAAAGCCTTTTTTTTTCTCGGAGCGCATCTTCTCCAATAAGCCACATGAACTTTCCTGTTGCCTTGTCATTTAAAAGCGCTCCATTTTTCTTTTTTTATGCCTCTATTTCACCCTCTCTTTCACTTTTTTTTTAATAAGTGGCGTAGTCTTGAAATTAAAGACCACGGTTCTATATTTTTTTTTCCCCCTCTTTTTTGCTCCGGCTGGGAAAAGCGCAGACATGCGAGTTTTACAGGGCGTGAGGCTGAACCGGCTGCAGATACAGCAGACACTTTCTCACGACTCAGATTGGAGAGGAAGGAAAATATCTGCTGGAGAACCACGCACACAACTGGGGTTTTTTTTCTTTTCTTTCTTTCTTTCTTTCTTTCTCTAAATGGGCGACAAGACGTCTCCAGCAAAGTGCTTAACTCGTTTTAATTATGCAGTAGAGTTAAAGGATATTTTTGAGCAAATGTATTTAATAATACACATTTAGTCGTCTGTTGATTCAAGTGTTATTTTGCTGGTTATGTGTGGCTGATGTATCTCTAATTTTAGGCCACGTGTGCAAAGAAAAATGTTATTGAAAATTGCATCTTTTTTTTTTTTTTATGACAAGGACTCCCCACTCACTGGGGAAATCTGATGTCATTTCCCACGTCTGGATAAGTTAAGAAAGTGAGCACGGTGTGAGGAGAAACGTGCGCTGCCACGCAAAACAGGGAGAACGAGGCAGTAAATGAAAGGTGAACGGAGCCGGTGATGATGCAGGAGAGTAAGTGAGTGGTGCTGCGATTGCACGTGCGAAAGCGATTGTGTTTACACCCAGAGAAGAGGCTCGCGTTAAAGCCATGCTGCTCTGTGGTCCAGCCTCTGCAGAATCTTCCAGGGGCCATCTGCCCAGCCGCCAGCCTGCCTCACACCTGTTCTCCCAACCTCCTCCCTGCCTCCTCCTCCTCCTCTTCCAACTCCGAGGCTACAGGGTCAAACCCATCAGACCACTGCTCACACACATGCGGACAGCCTTGCAAAAAGAAAAAAAAAAAAAAAAAAGATGGAAGCCATTTTATTCTCGCCTTCGCCGCACACTCGAAGACAAACACAAACCCCGGCTGGCAGTTCGAGCAAGCGATGCTGAAAAAGACTGTGCCGTCGCTTGCACTCTCACTCAATCTGCTGTGCAGATGACACTGGAACCCCCACACACACACACACACACACACACACACACACAAGCCGCCACACACATTCCCTTCGCTTTGATTATTCACATTCGCTCCCCCTTCCCTTATTTGTTTGGTGCTTTCTGATGTTAACCACAGCTAATAGATTTCTAGCGGTTTACGCTGAATCCAAACAAGCCTTTCAGATCACAGAAACAAACAATGAATTGCTATTATTTCAAAATAGGAAAAAAAAAAATAAAACATGCACAGATTTTTCCCTGCAGCACAGAGTCGCATTTAAGCTGCAGCACTGTGATGTAATTACAAAGCGCTTCTTTTAAGTGTGACATGCAGACATTTGGATGCGGTCCAGGTCTGCTGGATGGCGAATAAGGGATGTTGACTCAGTCGATACTGAAGCCTGCGAGCTTTTCTCCATCAGCTGGGATTGCATCATGCGCTCTCCTTCTGCCTGTGTGATCATCTTTTGTGTTTGGATTTGGTTTCAGATTCCAGCATTTAGAAACACTAAATCCGTCGTTTGTGGTTGTGCTTGTGATTTCAAGAGCAGGTCTGTGTTGTTAAATTCAAGTTTGTTTTTTTCGGGGAAAATTACATAATTCTCTTCGTCGTCTGTGTGCCAGCCTGGCAGGTAAGCGATAGCATATCCCAACAAAACCAATTCAATTAAAATCACATTGTCAATCGAAGGTATAAATTGTAATAGCATTGAAGCATCTCAAGCGGAAGAAGCATCGAAGCCGCTAGACGGAGGAGAGCTGTTGGAGGGCCAAATGTCAGCTGGTGAACTGGATGCTAAAACCACTGCTCCCCGCTCTCCTTCGAGATGTATAGATCTGCTCTCATTATTCAGAGCCGTCTCTTACCAAGTCCCAGAGTGAATTATAGATGTAATCACGGCGCGTGCTCCCATACACACCCCGTCCCATTGCAGATCAATAAGTCCATTGATGGTTATCAGTGAGAGGGCAGTTCCCCTCTCTGCTTATTGAATTTCATCACCCGTGAAAGAGCAGCCGTGGTATAAAAAAAAGGGGGTTGCAGGTAAGAGCGCGTGTGTGTATGTGCGCTTGTGAAACCAGCGTCTGTGACGTTTGCGAGAGTGCGTTCCCGTCTTTCTTTTATTGTGGCTGTAATTTGGTCCTTTTATGGCGTCTTATTTTCTGTCTGTGTCAACGGCGAAAACTACCAGCTGATTTTATTAGCCTTGTTCGGGTTTTTACTTCAGATTACGTGAGACTTATTGGGCAAAAAGAAGAAGAGGTCAGTGGAGATATGGACGGGAAATATTAGCTAACTATATATTTGTTTCCATTATTTTGTAAAAGTTTAACCTTCTGACAACTATTTTAGCTGACTCTTCTCTTTAATATAAGCTATGAGAACAGAATAAGTATTTCTTTCAAACCTTCTTGCCATTAGAGGTCATTAATTATTTAAATCAGGAGCAGAGGTGAAGTCTCATTCTGTGTGAGAGGGGATTTGTTGAAAAGCAAGTTTTTACCATTTTAAAGCAAAAAAAAACAAAACAAATTGGTTTATTTTTGTTTTCTTTAGCCTCTTACTATATAGCATTTGTGGAGTTGGCATAACCCAAACCCATTACTAAAACTGCAGTATCGGTGCAAATTTTTCCTAAATAACGTATTTTCTAACTTGGAGAGTTCCAAAACGCTGCCAACATTTCCAAACCACAATGACAGACAGTGGTTGAAAGGCCAAAAGGAGAAAACAAAAAAGCAGCTTACAGCTCTACAGTGTTGGCCTTCCTGTTATCAAAAATCCTGCTCTCTCTTTCTGTGATAGAAAGTTGTGGTCCAAGATTGTGTGAGGTCCAAATCAGAATTGTACTTGTGTGAGACGTCTTCTTGTTAATTTCTAGTTTATCTAGCTTGTTTTAAACTGTAAATTTAATGTTAACATTATAATATGCAACTTCAAAGTATTACTAGTCCCACAATAACCAAATTTTTGTTGTTTGACTAACATTCGATTCATATAATTTGTGTATTGAAAGTGTGGATTTTTTAAAATATTGAAGGTTTAGTTTTTGCAAAACTAGTTTTGACTTAGAGAGCTTAGGAGTTTATACTAAGCAGAAAATTTGAGTTGTCTAACATGATTATAACTTCTAGATTGTGTTTTATCACTTCAGAGTGATTTTAAACCCACAGCATTCAGAGGAAAGTCAATTAATATTTCAGATGTTTACTTAGTTGTAAAAAGCTTCTTCTCACTTCTACAGTTTGTAATTGAACAGTGAAGTCTAAAAACAGCTAAGCTACTTCCTAAAACATTAACTTGTTTACCCACAAGTACTTTCTTCCAGAACCGAGTGAAATGTGCTGCTTTAAGTTTCAGGTGTTGCACATTTTTTTTAACCCTAAAGGTAAAAAACAAACAAACAGAAACTTAAAGAAAATAGTTTTGGCCTTAACATATCATAGAAGTCCATCTTATCTTATCCTAATGTAGCGCTATAAACATATTTACATTTTCATCTAACGTCTGTAGGATTAATGCTGTTATTGTTTTCTTAGGCTCTGATGCAGCTGCTTCGTTTGCTGATAACTTTGGCTGGTGGTCTTTTTGGCTTCCCTGTTTACCTGCATCGTTCACCTGCATCTCTCTTACCCAGAGTTAAATACTCTCTGACTGATGTGTTCAGGAGCATATAAACATGCACGTTGTCTCACATTTACTCCTCATTCTGTTCACTGGATATAGACCGGAACTGAGGTGCTAATTAACTTTACTTTCTCTAACTGTGTCATTCACAAGCAGAACCCCCCCCACACACAGAGAGACACACACACCAATACACACATCCAGAATCTCTCTCTTAGCCTCCCTCGCACGATGTCTGTCCCTTAGCTCGCTTGCTCTCTCATCCACTGTTTATTTTCCTGCCTCCATCTGGAGTCGGCTGATATTGTAATCGCCCTAATGCACATTGCCTTTCACTCTCACACACACATTTGCACACAAACACCCGCCTATACAATGTGCCGTCCTGACAAGCCCCTTTTCTTATTTCAGGAGATAAGCCACTGGATGTGATTGTGTGTGTGTGTGCGTGGTTGCGTGTGATTTAAGTACACACATAGGTGTCTATGATTACAAAAGGACACACAGACACACAAGTGTGTACCTCCCCGCGCTCTGCCAAAGGTGATGATATTGAATAGGCGCTTCATAGCGATGTGAAGTGGCGATAAGGCGGCCAAGTGAAGATGTTAGCGGTTATTGTTAGGCTCCTCAATATTCACCTGTCATATGACTTACATTTATAGATTATCCACAGGTAAAAGGGATGGAGACCCGAGGGAAAAAAAGTGTTCGTTTGCATATTTTGAAAGAGATTTGTTCGAAAAGAAAAGGATGCTAGCGCATGTGGAAGGAGATTACCTTGCTGCAGTGTGCAACGGCTTTTGTTTTTCGATTCAGCAGACGTTTAAAAGCTCAGACGGTGGGAACGTGACGGCTCACACAAATGCCAAGGAAGCGCAGACAGCCGTGATTGATGGAAGGCGTGAGCTGTGAAACCGGGCGATTAGGAAACCTTTTTTATTTAACTCGTTCATGGGAGAACAATTGCTGTAGAATAGACAGGGCCGCCTTCCTATCACTCCATGAAACCTGACTTCATAAGTTGTTTTTGTGCTTTGTGAGAGGTGGACTAGCGAGCATAGGTAGAGAGATGTTGGAACAAAGGAGGAGAAAAACAAATTGGTAAAGAAAGAAAAAGTCAGAACATGTTCATCAAGGCTTTTTAGAAAGATTCACAGAAAAAGTGACGGTTAGAATTGGTTATCAATCAGATAACTTTCTGAATTTGTGAATTCACCATGTTAACTTTGGACTGACAGCACTCTTCTCTGTGAAAGTTGCTTACATTATTAGAAATATGTAGCCTTTTACTTCAGGCTACGAGAGATTAAGAGAGAGCAAGACTTTCAATAGAGAACAGCAAGGCTGTTAGACTAACGCGACTGAATTTTCCAGATGTAGAAATATTGGCACCTTTTGTAAATCTAAAAGTTAAGCTTCATAGTTGAGTGTACACACAGCGACTGCTATTTTCTAGCTATGCTAACGACATCAAGCTCTGATGTCTGATGGTCAACATGTCAACTCTGAATCACTTTCTCTTTGTTTCAAATGATTCAAATCCACCTAGTATTGAATGTTTTGTCTTTGCAGGCCTGCTTTCGCTCATTAATTTTGATGTATAAGCACTGATGAGTGGTAAGCTTTATGAAAAGGGCAGCTGCTCTGGCCAGCCTGGTAAAAAGAAGTGTAATTAAGATCAGCAGACAGGCAGAAAGGGAAAGAAAGAGAAGTGCGGATCGATAGATGCAGACGATGGAGGCTCTGTTTTTATCCCTCCAAGTATTGACATGTTCAGTCAATTACGTCGAGAGGGAAGAAGAAGAGAGAGATGTGAGAGGGTTTGCATTCAGAAATCTGCAGCAGCATCTGCAGATAGCAGTGCTGTTTGCCCTGTGCTTTAACACACATGTTCAAATCCAGATCAGACAACAGAGCCTTTCATCCACCTTCAGCAGACACAATTAAATCCTTGTTTCCTCTTCTTGCTGGTTAAAGTCGCACCACTACAGTCACTATAATGAAGCCCTTTTCTTTTGTGCCTGCATTTGACTTGCATGATGGGTGTTGTTGGAAGAGCGAGGGCTTCCAGCTGTTGTCACTTAGTGTCACAGACAAACCAGGAACCGGGACAATCGGACGATGGTCGCCCGCTCCATCTGATTGTCTTGTTGTCAAACCGACAGCAGGTGCCTGGAACGATAAATGGCAAGCGTCAATTATGTGAAGGAAGAGCCATTTTGGAAATTGGCTCTAAGATAAAGAGGGAAAGCGGGGAAAGGGGACAGTGGGGGTTAAATAAAGATATGAAAAGAGCTGCTCCATTTTCTCAAAATGGGGCCAAGTAACAGCCCCATTTTGTTTAACTTATAGTGCATCATGTCCCCATGCAGACCCTGCTTTTCCCATCCAGCCTTCATGAGTCTGAATCACTACCATCCACCCTACTAAGTATTTGTTCCCTCGCAGTCGATGCAGTCTGTAATAGCCGCAAAATTACACTCTGTTTTGTTCTCAATAAAATTGATATTTGAAGGCATTTTCACCTGTAAAAACAATCTCAGTTCTTTCAATTGGTTTATTTATTCTGTTTATTATTTTGGCCTCAGAGGAAGAAAAAGGCAGAATTTTTCTAGTGAAATCTGAAAAGGTGTTGCAGTTCAGCAGGACAAGAGATAAAGTGGGAAGCTGTGGGTTTGTATTGATGAATCGATACAGATCTCAAGAGCTGCCTCTTAGCTGATGTGTGAATGTGTATATGTGGAACAGACACCCAGACCACCTATTTACTGGTCTGCCTTTCGGTCTGCAGCATGTAAAAAACATAAATCTTTACATCTTTCTGGTCTTGGATCTCAGGCATCATCTGATATGTCTTATGGGTTTGCGACTGACAACCCTTTAATCAAAACATCTGTTCCTTCTTCCTGCTGAATGTTAAGCATATATTGCTCAATTTTCACATACAGCATGCATTTGTCTACTAGCAGAGCCTTTCAAAGTGCCCGTACAGTTTGTGGTGTTGCATATTTTCAGTGGGAAAATATCTGTTTTGAATTGGATTTCATTAGAGAAATCAACATAATCTCGACACAAAGCAATGGATCTGATCTCAAGTCTTCTCCATCCTCTCACAGAGGACTCCCCAGTTAACGGCTAAATTAACAATAAGCATCTGTAGTAATTCTGAGATGTTGAGCTGAGAATGGGGGCTGATTTATTTCAGAACAAATGTAGCCACTGCACTTGAGATGTAGGAAGTCAAAGAGAGAAGAAAGACAAGCATTTGAGCCAACATGAACATATGATCATGTAAACTGCATGTCCACTTGCTTTTGCCTGTTAATAGGCAAAGTTTGGGGATGCCTACTGTGACAGATCCCTTCCAGTATAAAACAGTAAAAAAATTACCAGTCAACTCTGCTCAGCTTCTCTGTGTCTGCTAAAAAGAAGCCTCCCCACAGCATGATGCTTCCCCCCTGGTCTTCCACTATTTTGTTTTGTCGCTCTCCAATGAATCTAGAATTGAATTAGATGGCTTCTGAAGGGAACTGGTTGCATTTGATTTAATCTGAGGTTTAGGAAAATGTTCTGATTTTGGTTACAAGAAACTTTGAAGGCCATGTGTTATTTTTGAGGCACATTTAAAACCCCCCCAATAGGAATGAGTACTTTTGCAGTGCACTGTTTACTTGGACATCAACTGTGTTTCACGCTGACTATGTTGGCATGATGTGGATTTGTATCGACTGGATCGAGCCATTGTCTGACTCCCACCGTCCACAGCCATGTTTGGTCTTCTCGGCTGTGATGAAGCCATTTGTGGAAGAATCTGTCTTTTTCCAAGCGCTAAACGGCTCCAGATTTCGTCGTAACTTTTTGAGGCTTGTTAACTGAGAACAGGCTCGGCGTGGCTGACTGAAAAAGACTCTCACGGAGCAGTGAAATTTCATGCACAAAAACAAAAAAAAGAGGAAAAACACAAAAAAAGGAGAAGAACATAAATCCATCTTCTCCTGTAAAGTTCTGGATTTTTTGGCAGATGTTTTAAGATGTTTGGCCTGAGAGATTGTAATTTTTTGTCCATCTGTCCTCTCTCTGCTCCCCCCGCCCCCAATGTCTTTTTATCAACATCTGGTTTTCAGTGCGGCAGGGAAACAAGTATTCTTTATAAACCGCGGGTTCCCAGTTTCTCCTCTGCGTGTGTTATTAGCTTAACCTCAACTACTGCACTCTCTCTGTGTGCACATACTCACATATGCTATCCATTAGGAAGTCATACCATACAGAAAATGTAATAACTTTCAGTTAGAAAGAGATAAAGTATTTTGGCTTTTTTTTTTCATTCTTCACTTTTTCCATCACTGCAGAGAGTTTGGAGTTCTGGTTTTTATGCCTCCCCTGCGAGAGAACAAATTACTGCCTAGATGTTAGGTTGAGGATGCTTCAGTGAGAGGAAAGCCCCTATTCTCTAAGTATTTTTTTTTTTTTGTATTACCCCTGTTTTCACTCACTGGCTTCTGAGAAGTAAAGTTTAAAAAACTGCATGTATATTTTATTACAGAAATGAATTACAAATTAATAATTTAAACGTATTTCCAGAACAAACTTCAAGTTCCCTTATGGTTGCAAGGTTTCCCCAATATAACTTGCAAAGCCCGGTGGTTGGGCGGTAGGGCGTGTTTTTGAGTTAAAAAGTTGTTAAAAGTTGACGAGAAATTTAAAACTGTCACTTGATAATTATGTGTTTAACACTGTAAGACTTGAACATTAAGTCTTAAATCATGCAAACATTGTAAAAAGACTTAAAAAGATGAGCAATGTTTACCTGCTGGGGGCATAAGTAAAACCTGGTGGCCCACCAGGCTTAAAATACACTGAGAGAAACCCTGAGTTATATTGGATTTTCTCCAGTAATAATTTTCAAATCTTATTATTATCTTTTCTAAAAAGTGATGCAGTTACCTGGTGTATCTGGGACCTCACTCTGATGCCCTATAGTGTCTCAGTGTTGAGGAGGTTGATTTATTTAAGTAAGACAGTTCTGTCAAACATATGCAAAACTAAACCTGCAGAACATAGTATGAACTTAAACTAAGAGTCAATTTGAGCTGAATTTGGATTCAGATAGATCAAGTAGAAACTGAAAAGAACCTGATGAAACGAAAACAAAGTGATAACCAACACCTTATTTTCTGATGTGGATCAAAATGGTCCCAAACTATGAAACCTTTCGTTTGCCATAGTTGCAAATGCTCCATAGTTGGCGCTGTACCGTAGAAGATCAAGAAGTCTTTTGGCAAATGCATCTCGTTGACAGATTTGCTTCCTTATAAACAGTTTGGCGGCCAGTTTCTGTATCGATCACGTGACTTGCTGAAAGCTATACAAGCACCGACACGGGGTTTTGTCTGTGGGCTTGACGCATGCTCCGTCGCTTGCTCCAGCATCGGTGTTGCTTGACCCGTCACTAGTGGATATATAAAAAGTAAATGATCGCATTGCACAAAACAAACCTTTTGTTGGAGTAACACAGACAAATTAATCAGCTGGTGAATTAGCGAGCCTGCATCCAGCTGCTTAGCTCAATTTTTACTCACCTCATTTTTACTGACCTTTTTTTTTACCGTGGTTGATTTACATTTAATGATTGTGCTGTTTGTTATAGAATATGTTTCCAAACTAATAAATTTGTACTTTTGGATAAGCAAAGCAGCATTAATTTAAATGAATCATTGGAATTGGACTGTGTATCAATAAATGCCTAAGATTAAGTGACAAAAGGACTGGTTGAGGAACTCTGCAAAGTGATTTCAATATTATCTGTTTGAAATATCTCATAAAAGCTCCCTCATGTACAACAACTATTGTTTAATCCATGAAATACTTTACAGTTGTGCAAAAATTGCATATTTTTGCACAACTGTGCAAAAATATGCAGTTGGTGGAACTGTGACTTGATTTCTTCAAATATACACATCTCACACATTAACCCACACATGCACACTCACACAATATGGACACACAGTCATTCAGTCACCAAATTGGTCTCCTTGCATGCTCACAAACAGAAGTTGGATGTGCAAACAAAGCCACGCAGCCCAGCACCATACGGCAGAGCTGTCAATCAAGAATGAAGGCATGCTGAGCGTGCTTTGAGTGATGCCATGTAAGGTGGTGTGCATCGCTGTGTGCTTGATAAGGTGAACGATATTTTAAGAATTGCGTGGAATGTCATATTAACAGCCGAGGTTGCACATGCACACACACACGCAGGCATGAGTCACCGGCTACATTTGCTGCTGTTTCTTCTATGCTCGAATGCAGGATATGTAGACTCCTACTCCACCACATACCCATGTCCCACTTTTTTTTTGTAATTTAGTCGCTTAACAAAAGCGTGCTGAGCTTGTTCCTACTACCAATTATGTTCTGTTAAATCAGTGTTGATGCTGTAACACAACACAGTGCGGCAGATAAAGGCACTTTAACAACCATAGCTTGCAACATTTCTTAGCACTTCATCAGATTGAAAAAAAAAACACATTTTCAAATAGGTGTAATAGTATTAGCAAAGCTTGAGTTTGCTAATGTTACCAGAATACAACTAGATTTTAGTTCACATAGTGGTAAACAAGAAAAGCAGGTTGTAAAAAGCTGCTCTAAATTCAGCTGCAGACTACGAGCATCTGCACCAAAGCCTCAGTGTCTGGGATACAGCCTGGTGTATTTGGCTAAAATAAGAGTCTTTGTATTTGCCTCTTTGCCCAAGGCTACAAGATGCAGTCGCACAAAAACATGTACAGAGTCATGACAGATGCCCCTAATTGCTAAAGAGGCTAATGCATTAGTCGTGCACCGCCCCAGGCTTTTGCCTTGTAGGACGACAACAAAACTGAGTCATCAGCTGATTGAGGTTGGAAGACACACATACACACACACACACGCACATATTTATAACCAGTAACATGCCTCAGTTTATCCTGGTCCCACATTTATTTGTCATTATCCCACAAGGAGAATTAAATCTATACTCAGTCATGTTATTTTGAGAATCCCCCGCTCTCAAATATTACCCGCTAACTTTCTGCTCTGGTGTATTTCCTGTTTGAATACACAACTCATTTAGGTGGTTTAAGTTGAAGCGAATGAGCAGAGGTTTGATAATTATCTGATCCAGCCACTTAGACGATTATCCCCGCATGGTGTTTTTTGGTGTTTTGCAGACCTCCGTTTGCTTCCGTGTGTGTGTACGTGTGTGTTGTTGATGTTGTTGTTGTTGGAAGCGGGTGGTATCTTCACGGGGAACTGATTGCAGAGGATTAGATTGTGATTACGCTCGGGGTGGGGTGCAGAAGTAGAGATCGGCGAGAGGGGGGAAAAGGTGACAAAGTGTGGGAAGGTGAATTGTAGAGAGATGATTGGGGGAAAAAATAAGATAACCATCACATGGGAAAAGTAGGTGGAGGCCTCAGTGCCTTGAGAAAGTATTCATACCCTTTGAACTTTTTTTATATGTTGTCAAAACATATGAAAAAAGAACTGCAGAGATCCACCTGCCAAGCGGCAACATCTATGAATGATGAACTTCATAAATCTTACCCTTATGGGAAAGAAAAAAAAAACATACGAGAAGTTCCTTTTACCGCAAGCCATTTAGGGGACTAACATGTGGAAGAAAGTAAGTCTTGTCCTAAAGCAAAACCCTGAATACTTCATCCCATTTTTAAACATAGAGGCGTCAGCATCATGATGTGCGGATATTTTTCTTCAATGTATTTGCATGCCACAAGTTTCGGATCTCTAACCATCAGTATAAGTAGTGTGCTCTACTTTGTATTGCTGTATAATGTAAAATAACACCAAAATACATTAAAGTTTGTGGTTGTAATGTCCCAGTATAAAAGAGATTAGGAGTAATGAATACCTTTGCAAATTACTATAAGCTAAAGCCATTACCATAAGTCTATCACATTTTTTAAAAAAGATTTAAATACTTCCATGTGAATTCATCTGTAATTCAGCTCTGCTTTTCATTGCCCATAGCTGTTGTGGACTACAAACTTCAGCATGAGAGACTTTATGTAGCAGTGCCCAGACAGGCCGGTGGGAGCTATCCAAAGTGGAATTGTTGTGTTTCGGTTTCAAAACCACATTATTACATGGGGTGAGCGAGGTCTGTGTGATTGCGCAGCTCTGATGTCAGCCTGTTTGCTGGTGCCAGCTGGAGAACTCGACCCTGGAAATGGAGAAACCGGGAATAACGCGTGTATGTTTGTGAGTGACTCTAAACTGCTGCGGACTGATGCCAGAAGCCACAGAGTTGAGCAACTGAAGGAGAAGGGAGTAGTGACAGACACATTAAAAAAAAAAACACACAAAAAACGAGGCAGACAGAAATCCCCGAAACACACCATTAACTAAAAAAAAATATGACCTCAGATGCAGTTATAGCTTCTGCTTTTCAGGATCTTAGACAGCAAATAATGTGAAACTACATCTTTGTCTGGAAGCATTTTGGAGTGTGAAAGATGTAACATACATGAGTTCAGTCCTGAAAAGGAGTTTATATCAATAAATTCCTTGACAGAGTTCATAAGTATTTGTATATCATTATTACAGTTTTGATGTGTGCAATATTTCAAATTCTAACTGCTGAGGTGCCAGGATATTATATTACAAGTGCTTTGCATTTTACTTCTACATGCCAATAATTTATCTTGTGTGTTAGATGGACTTTCACCGTGCTCAATGCGCACACTTGATATATATTTTCAGTCAAATAAATACTACAGTTTATGGCAAGAGACAAGGACATTGTGATGAAGAAAGTTTGATTTAACCATAATAGATACCATTACTTCAACATTTCAGCAACGCTATTACAGCTTCATGTTTTTGCGAAGCCCTAGTTGTTAGGGAAGCACAACACCAAACATAGCACACTAAGATAGATGCAAGTCGATACCATGACTATTATTGTGACTGTCAGCACTTACTGAAAATGATGTTAGGTTCACGAGGGCAAGACGAGATTTCACCACCGTTTTTGAAAAATCTATGGCTATTCGTCTAAGCTTGTTTTTTGTTTGTTTTTAAAATGAAAAAAATCACTCTGCATTTCAAGTTTGATTCATTTTAAGATTGTAGATCGTGAAGTTGATATCAAATTCAGTTCAAACTCATAAAAAAAACTGACATTTCTCTCTTTAAGTGCCCAGAGGAAGCTATGAAGCAGATGTTATCTTTAGTGTCATTAGTGGCAAATGGTTAGCCAGATGTGGAATGATCAGTGATTATGAGGCAGAGCCTCACCTGTCATCATGGAGAAATAATAATGATAAAATCATTTATACTGCTATTTTCACCCTGTGGTTTGTACTATAAAGTACCTATTTTTCATTTAGCTTAACCAATTCTGATTATTTTTTTCTTCAAAATCACTAATTTTTTTGCATTTTCCCATTCAAATGCTTGGAAGCGAAGCAGGTGAGGCAGCAGGGAGCTAAGCCTCACCTTGGATTGATCAACCTCTCTTAACTGCACTGGCTACCAGTCTATGAGAGCATGTTCCTCATGTCTGTACGCCGTATGTATATAATGGCAGTGGGGTTTTTTTGTGTGTGTGGAACAAGTATCGTGTGCTGAGGAGCGATCATAAACAGCAGAGAAGGTAGGCAGGCAGTTCTCTTGTCTCACTCCAGGGGGCGCTCATAATCCCAGAAATTGTGACTCCACTGCTAAGTAAGAAACAGTAACAGCGAGCTAGCCATGGAGCTAGCCAGGGAGTTAGCCAGGGAGCTAGCCAGGGAGTTAGCCATGGAGCTAGCCAGCGAGTTAGCCATGGAGCTAGCCAGGGAGCTAGCCGTACAGTAAAGTGCAGCGATATATTTATAGTTTTTCTCCTCTTACCACAGCAACCACTTATTAATAATCGCAAAATAAGCATTAAGCCTAAAACCATACCACTACAACAGACTGAATGTTCTGCTCTTTTGTGGGAAATATTTCAGTGTTTTTCTTTTTTTTTTGTGGCGTTGTTGTCAGTTGCTATGAAAACGAGTCTTCGCGTTTCTGCACTGATACAGAGAATCAGAAAGACGTGATTCTGAGTTGAACTTTAACGTTTTCTCCCTTTGTTCTGGAGCACAGCACCAAATGAATAATATCCACATGTCCACGTTTGATTGAGTTAACGGGATTAATCTAGCGCGGCTGTGCATGACATGAAAAATGTTGTCCGCATGCGCGAAATTTTCTTATGTAAACAATAACGCATATTTGCAAATCTGATTATGATTAAGTCAGTGCCTCACCAGCTACGAACCTCACCGCGCGTCACTGGTCTGGTGTGAGTGAAAACCTGGGGACAGGAGGCGGACCTCGTGAGAAGTGACCAAGAAGACTACTGAGTCTAGTTGTGTGGAAGATGGTAGAGACAGTCACAGTAAACAAAAACTATGCATTTTAAAAGTTCCGCTGTTTTTGCGTTTGTGCAAGTATTCTTGCATCACGACAAAATCCACCGATTCTTTGAACAAAACGTCAAAAACAAGGTGCCAGATTCTTACTTTTGTTTTTTCTTTTTCTTTTGCACTGCATGTGTGCATTTGTTGCACATGGATGGAAAGAGAAAACATAAATGTCTTTTAATGCTATGGCCTGCACTTGTTGTCATGGAAACAACAGACTGAATGTTGAACGCTTGTGTTTTACCAGATCCCCTCGAAACAGGACCAGAGGCAGGACTGATCACTACCAGATTTTTCTGTTGTCGCAAGTAATTTACTTTTTAAAAAGAGTTTTCATGTGGCATCTCTGTTGTTTGGTCTCTGTTTGGCGCACAAGACAGCAACAGAAAAAGTCTCCCACCTTAATCAGGGAGGGAGCCAAGAACTGGGAGCACTGACTTTCAATCTTGTGACAAATATTCTCCTTCTGCCTTCCATCCCACAAGCACACTTTCAGCCTGTATCGCCTAAAAGAAAAGAAAAAAAAAACATCCTGACAAAAAAAAAAGACATTGAAAAAAATGTGTACGCTTGTGAACAAGTTGAAACGTGTTTGTGCATGGGAACAAGACAATTATCTACACAGCGCAGTCCAGTCTGAAACACAGGCACAAACACTGTCCCCTTCACACACATCCTGACCCAGAGCAGCCAGCCGTCCAACCCCACCCATCTGGGTTCCCATCCTCTTTGGCCTTCTCTCTTGACCCGCCAGGCCCCCACACCAACCCCTTCTCAGGTTCCTTCTGGTTCCCCTTCTGGTTCCTGACCAGCAGGGCTATCTCTGGATGGCCAGTGGTTCCTCTCATTCTCCTGGCCCATTGTGTGCTGACTTGGGCAGGGCCCTTGGCCCCGGGGGCCGGGAGGGGAGCCAGGAATGACCTGGTTCCTGTTGCTGTGCTAGTTAAAGGAGCTGTGCCATCATTTCCATTAGTAACTGATTATGGTACATTTTGAGCGACTTCCTTCGTTTTGGAAGTACACTTGATTTTGATAAGGGGAACTTGAGCTCTTTAATTTGATGCCTTGGATGTTCAAATAACCAGGAACACAATTTGTTCCACAACTACATGTTTTATATGTAGACATGAATTAATATTCTTCTACCGCAGAATTTGACTGAAAAGAGCACAAGACAAATCCAAAATCACATCCTGAAATTAATCATTGATCAGTGTCCATCTTCAGCAGTGAGAATGGTCATTTCACAAATGAGCGAAAAGGAAGCCTTCTCGCCACGTATTACTTTTATGAGGAACTGATGAAATCAGACGATTCAGCGTCTGTTTCAGAGCGATTGTCTGCTGTGGAACACACAGCAGTGATCAGACATGCGTTAGAGTGACTGTCGTGCCTGGTGGCAGCTCTCCCCGTGAGCAGTCCACTGTGAGCTGGGCTCACTGCGGAGCGCTACACTAGCTGGTGCTCTTGGTTAATTATGACTGCCAAGCCAGGCTGTCACAATGATTCACTATGGAAGGAGGAAGAGTGGGGGGAGGAAGACAGGGAGGAGGGAGCTGGCAGGGCTACAGACGTATCGCTAGCGCCTCCTACTGACAGAGAAACCGCTGATCCTTCTGAGGTGAGGGCTTAATTTTGAGAAAATCTGTCCACATTGCAGCACATCTTTCCCCCCCGTCCCCTCCTTGCTTTTATTTGTTCTTGAACGTCTCCTCCCTGCTTCCCTTTCCTGTCTCGATGGGGACTGTGTTGCTCCTCGCCCTCGGAAAGCTACTCTCCTTTTCGATTCCTCTATTTTTATTCCTGCCTGCTCTTCTCTTGCCAGTGTCAGTTGTGCTGTCTTGTGTATTGTTGTGACAAATCAAGCACCTCATTCATTTCATGTCACCCTCTTTTCAGAGAACCGTAAATGCACACTTATTCCTCTTCTCGGTTCAATGTTCTGTCCACTTTGCCGTCAAAAGTGTCAACATCCCCCAAGCTGGAGTGGAATGAAACTATGTCTTGCTGTTTGTTATCAGTGGATGTGTGTGATGACAGAATTGCAGCACTGGTGGGAGGGTGGGGTGGGAAATCACGCATCTGTCAAAACCTGCATCATTTCACCTGCTGGTAAACACTTGTGAGTCTTTCTCATCTGAGAAAGCAAAACCAGTTCCTGCACTTACATTAACAGTTCGTACAACATTCAAGTGTGTGCTGTGGAAGCAGACATTGGAAAACATTTCAACAACCAGTCCTCCCAGACACACACACACACACACACACGCACGCACACGCACACACATGCCCATCACACATGCATGCACCCGCAGCAGAAAACTCATTTGTTCTACCTCATTAGCATGTATTGTGGCAAGAGGGTGTAACACGCTGAAAGGTGAAATGGGTCCGCCATGAATAGCGCACCAGTCGGCCGAGAGGAGGAGAGGGAAGAGCAGAACGAGGGGGGAGGGAGGGAGAGAGTGGTCCAGATGGCTGGGGACCTGCAGCACACACAGGGAGTCTCTTGCCTTGCTTTTTTTCCCCTCCTTTGCTTATTGCACCTTTTCGACTCGCTCTCTCTCTCTTGCTTGGCTGTCTTTCTGCAGCTCTGTCTCCTTTCTCTCACTTCTATCAACACGCACAAAAGGCCAAGCCCGTGTGCGGCCGCCCTTTCCTCCAGAGCTGTTGTTCACTTGCAGCCACACATATGTGCTCACGGAGGTAGTGTGTCCAGAGGGGGGAAGTGCAGGTGGGTCAACCCCAACAGAGCACTCTTCTCTAGGAGATGTCCTTATCACCTACGTCTTGTCTCTGTCAGACTCTTCCATCTTCTCGCTTTGTACTTTCTGCTTCACACGTCCGCCTTAATGATTTCATTAGCTGGTCCTCTCCTAAGCTCCTCCAGCTTTGATCTAAACCTCTTCATTCTGATTGTATACTTAGGATCTGCTTCCGGGTGAAAGGTGAACCTCCAACTCAGGCTGAAGACTTCTGGGGGCTTTAACAGGTTTTCTAAATAGATTGCGTTTACTCTGTGTTTACTCTGACCAGCTTTTCTGTCCCCTCTAGAGAAATGCCTCCTCACCTTTGCTAATACTATGTTTCACCATCTGCTAAAAGTGAAGTTTCGGTCTCTTCTGACAAGAGCACCTTCTTCCACATGTTGGCTGCATCCTCTACTTTGTTTATTCATGACCTTTTCCTTGTCAATAATCTTTGTTGTCCCGTCCACAGATTCTCCTACACGAGTCGTCCTTTCTGCAGCTCCTCCGTAGTTGTACGTCTTAAACTATTGTACTTTCAGAACTCCTCCATCATGTAACCATTTGGTGAATCTCTCCTGACATCTCATTTTAAGGTCTGCTTTGATGCAAGTTTCTACCACCCTTTAAAGAGTCTTGTTTTTTTTATATATAGTTTTAACATATTCCCCTTCAGTGGCTTGATGACTAAACTAGGACTGTGATGCACAGCATGGAGACAGTTATTGGTGCGTTACATCAGATCGTACCAAAGTCGAGGCCATCTCTGGTCAGTCAAAAAAAAAGGAAGGAAGAGTACTGACGTTTGCCCTGATATTCCCTTTCCTTTCTCTCAGTGTTATGGAGCACTGCCAGAATATCTCCTCATTTATCTTTCCATCTGTGTGTTTGTGTGCCAGTCTGTCACTGACTGTCTCTTTCTCTCATCCATCTTCTCTTGATTCTGTCCTCCCTTGATGTCTCACCCCACCCTGCCCCTCCACTGCTCTTCTCTAGACTTTTGCCTTTTTGCCTGTATTTCTCCCAAACTATGCCTTCCCAGCATGCTGGGCTGGGAATTACTAATGGCCTCCACTGGGGCGTAAACTCTGTGTGGTTGAGTTTTGTGTAGGCTGTGTACACACATACACACTCGCGCACCAACACATACAAAGATTCATAGACAGAGTAGTTGGCAAGATAAGTGATATGGAAGCTTGTTTCGAAAGTATCCGCAACCCCTTCCACATTGTTCTGCTTGAATTTATTATACTGGGATGTTCTATGACCTCTCAACACAAAGTAGAGTATAAGTGCACGGTATAATGAAAAGGACGCATAGTGGTGTGCATTTTAGTCACTCCCTTCACTGGATTGAACTAAATAAAATCCAAAGCATGCAATTAAAGTTCATTGTCTGTAAAACACTTTATGGCAAAGAATAAATATATCTTATCCCTGTACACACCAAGAAGAAGCACAGCAGTGGGGACATTATACTAAGGGAATTTTCTTGCACAGGAAGGGTTGGTAGTAGAACGGATGCAAATAAATACAGATTCATACTTGAAGGAAAACCTCATTGAGGCTGCAAAAGACTCGACAAGGAGGTTCACCTTGAAGCGTTACAACAAGGTGATCCTCTCTCATGAACAATATTCATGTATCGCAATGGCCTAGTCAAAGACCGGACCATATTCCAAAAAAACACTCTTCCCCCAGTTTGACTGGGTTTCAATTTTCTGACGAATGAGCAGAAAAACCTGTTGCTGTGAAACAGGAAACTTGTAGAGACACTTCTCTATGCGGTTCTGGTTCTACAAGCATTGATTCAGGAATGTTGGAAACAAATGATTCTTTTTTTGTAACAATTTGGAACCTTGCATTGTTTTCCTCCCACTTTACAATTATGTACCAATTTATGTTGACCTTTCACAAAAAAATTCCAATTATATACACTCAGTTCGAAGCTGTGAGGTGACAAAACATGGAAAATTTCATGGGAAATGTATCCTCTTGCAAGGCTCGGTAATTGGTACCCTATGATGAAAGACAAAACACTAACCTATGCTAGCTTGCATCTCTTTTTTATGGATAACATTCTCTACTCTCAGGCATAACTGCTCTGTGCCAGCTAATGCAAACATGCAGCGCTGCCAGGGGACGTCCTGTGGGATTTCGGGGTGCCTGTGTGGGTGTGTGTTTCACTCACTCACCCTCTATTCAGGAGCACCTCATTGACTCTTCATTGAGTTGACCCTCTTAATCCCCTTTGAGTTTACCAAGCCTTCCACGAAGCCTTCCTCCCATTCTCTCTTATAAAGCCCCCCCTTCACACAAGATGATGGCTGCATTTCCCACAAAGAGAAAGTGAGATTCCTCCTTACCAAGAACATTTTGCCCTCTTTAACATTGTGTGCTTGTTATTAAGTCTTTTTTTGATGAGTGTTTTTTTTTTTTATCTATCTATTTG